TGATTAGTAGCTTTCAAATGGCATATTGTACACAGGCAGAGTGTCTTTATTTGCCGATTTGGGAAAAACTGCCGTTCGCCTTAGGGGGTAAAGGCTTAAGTAATTATCGAATCCGATGCATATTTCGTCATGAATATTTTAGCAGGTTTAGACAGAAATAGTAATAATCCAGGCGCTACAATTTTCAAACCTGTTTAACAAAATCCGTCCTATAGAAAACTTCCCTTCGTAATTTTTACAGTGGTTCCAGGAAACACCGTTCCTTCTATTGTACCCCCGCCAAGTCACGCATTTCTGTTTTACATAATTTTAGAAGGGTATCTTCTTTTCAGTATTATTAGATAAATACAATTTCCTTGGTTGCATTGTAATGCTGTTTAACCGGGAAATAAAAAACATATACGTACGATATTGTTATTGTTGTTAAATCTTTTAACTGTTGTCGTTGTTAACTCCCTGTGTCCTGACAATTTTCTCTGTACTACTAACAGCGGGTGCGTAGAGAGTCTGAAATCATTAAGAAAAGTATTGAAATCTGCAAATTTAGTGTTTCAGATTTGGCGAAAATTTGGAAAATAAAAATTAAGCCAAGAAAAGGTGGACAAAAACCGTGGAGAGTTTTCCAAGCTGCAACTATTGCTTAATACCTATGCCAGATTTCATGTATATCGCGCCTAACCAAAATGTAATAATAGGGAATCTGGTGAACTTCGTCTCTCCACCCTACCCCCTGACATGATTGTCCTTTCTCCGCATTGTATCTGGTGAACTTCGTCTCTCCACCCTACCCCCTGACGTGATTGTCCTGTCTCCGCGTTGTATCGCGATTGGTAGTGTGAGTTCGCATTAAATTGCATCATGGTTACATTCTGGTTACATGTTTGGGGTAGCTATTTTTGTTGAGTCTGGAAAAAGAAACTATTAGGTTTGGAAAGAGTATGGACAAAGTCTTGCTTTTGGCGTATAAAAAGATGTACAAGCGTGAGCAGGGACAAAACGAAGACACAAACAAAAATGAAAAAAAAAAAACAAGCAAATAAACAAACTAAAACTTGTTAAGAATGTTCTTCGTTAGTTTTTTAATCGCCTTGCTAAAAACTACTACTGCAGCTTTCTACTGTTAATTCACGCTGTAGTCACTAAGGTTTAGTTACTGTCCTTTTCTACCATCCAGGAATTGGTTTTAAAACCCGGATGTATTGTTCAATACCTTGCAAGCCATTCTACGAGCAAAACGGCAAAAATAACTTGACTATGCTTCGATGCCTAAGCAACGAGGAACTAAATATAACTTGAGCATGCTTGGAAAATAAACAAGAACTGTTCGCATAGCAGGCAAGGTGATAAACTACTTTTATACTGAGTGTTACCTGTGCGCTGTCATCTTTGTTTTCAACATAAAACTTTTGTCATTTAGCACCTAACGTAAGTCATCTTTTGTTAAACTGAACGGCAATGTTTTTTTAGTTTTCCTTCTCTCTTGCAACTAAAAGCTTTCACTATTATGAAATGCACTTTACTTTTCAGGAGTTATTCGCTAAGGAAACATATAATATCCCTGCTACTACTAATAGTTCAATACCTTAGTTTTAAAGCACCTCGAATAAAAAGATTTGGCTTGTAGCTGTAGTTTTGACGCTGGGCTGGCTGGGTGAGTTGACATGGACTTGCCAGGTTCGTTAGGGACTGGATTTCGTTTAACGCCCTGAAGAGAAAATAGTAACCAAATTATTAATTGAGCAATAAAACCAGTAGGCTTATTACTCGAGTAACAACTAAGAGCCTATCGCAAGTGCCATCCCAGCATTTAGCCAGAAAATGGTAAAAGCACTGAGCACTTGTAGTCATTTTCACGAAATAGAAAACACTTTGTGTGTTTCTATCGAGTTTTAGTACAATTGTACTCGTATAATAACGCAAATGCTGCAATCTGATTGGCTGAGCTATCGTACATTTCCAGTAGGTCGTCCACAAAATGGCACAACTATCATCTCGTGGAGACGATAGTGGGAATTTGTGAGAACGAGAACTACTGTGTGCACACGAACTGCTCCGAGTTCTCCCAAAACATTCTCGAGAGTGTTTGTTTTTTAAATTGAGCTCGAGACTAAACACAAAATTGTTGACAAAGGCGCCGCCCGAGTCAACTATCACGCAGAGAACTCGAGAGCGAATAATCTAATTGTTTTAGAATGACTCTATTAGTCGTTCAAAATTTAAAGTGCAACCCCTTTTCACAGACACTTGTAAAACGCACAGAAGTGGCCTCCATTTTGTTAAGAACCGCACACTGCTAAGTTACTCACTATCTAAAACAGAATATATACTTCGTATAGTGTGATCGTCGAGGTGAGGGTAGTTCTGAAACGAACTGTTGTTGCCCTCACCCAGACGATCACACTCTACGAACTACTGACACTCCTAAGTTCAAACCATTTACTACGTTATAGAATACATAGCTAGTAGCGTAGCCAATCGAGAACGGTATTCATGATAGAACGCAAGTAGATTTATACTAAAAGTCGACAGAAACACGGAGAGATTGCTTTCTATTTCTTTTAAAAACACCTCGAGAAAAAGAAAGAGAAATTGCACCTTTATTTACGTCAAAAGTCTTCGCCGCGTTTCTATTAATTAATTAGACTAGTGATAATCATGGATTAGCTGAGTGCGTTTGAGTCAATACAGTTAAAACCTTTGGATACTGCCTAGATAATTATATTGTCACACCACGTTCCTAGTTTTGACATTTGCTGTGCGTAAGTTTGGCAAGTATCTTCCACCATACTCTAAACATAATGTTGTTGGACTCAATTCCAGCTATGCGAATTTGCAAGTGCAAATCTGCAGTTTTATAGAGCTGATGTGAAACAGACCATAGTTGGTAGAGGGGAATGGTTATGAAAGAGGGCAACCAATAGCGCGGTCTCCGATGTTGAACAGACCGGTCAAGTGACTCTGACCGTGCACAAGTTCATTCAAGATGGCGGACAGTACAGACGGTCTGTTTCTGTGAGGAGACGATTTTGAGACCATTTTGGACGTTTTGGAAGACACTGAAGAAGTAGAGGAACAATTTGCAGTCACAGCTAGAAATGTAAGTTGAAAAAATGGTAATTTTGAGTCGAAATTTCGCATTACTGCTCTTAAATTTGCTACGCATAGTCTGCTCGACTCGTGTAAACAAACGAAATCCAACAAACGCTCACGCAAATATTGTTATATATTATAGTCCCCTCTACTAACTATGAACAAACCAATCACCACTGCAGGTGTCACGAACATCCTCCGGAATTTAAGGCTTAAATTTGCACGTCTTTCACTTAGGCAACCCCAGGCGAAGTCTCCATTGATATCTCCAGGAAACCAACCTCCTTTTAAACAATTATTGCAATAATTTCCAGAAAATACATCAAATATTTGAACGGAATCACTGAGCCACATAAATTTTCAGAATAAATATTACTTTTGATGCCCGATTTATTTTTGTTGATTTTCATGACGAGCACATATTTTGGACAATAATGTTCACTTCTACACCAAAAGAACACTTAATTGTAATTCCTACACAAATTCATGATAAATGAGGTGTTTGGACACTGTTCATAAACTGGTATGTAAAACTACCACACACACAAGGTCAGGTTTCAAGTCGACATCGCTTATTTTAAGTTGAATAAGTAAAGGGCCAAAATATTTTTAAAATATCAACAAAAAGAACTCGACCTGATGTGTAAAACTGATAAGAAAACAAGAAATTATATTACTTCTTTGCCGTGCGACAAAATGCCCAACAGAAGCAGAGAAAATTGAATAGGGGAAACGAGTCTTAACTCATTGACTTCAGGGGACAAAACGGAAAATTTCCATTCTTGTATTATATATAACAGCCAACATTTGAGAAAACAACGGAAAATAAAAGCGAAAGACACGAGTAAAAACCAATTTGAAAACAAGAAATGAGCTAATTTCTTCGCCGCGTGACGAAACATTACAGCGCATCGAAAGAAAGATGAAAGTTGTACATCAAAAACGCGACAAAAACAAGCCAATTTTTGAGATCAATCGTATTTCAACTGTGTCAAATTATTGGTCACTTAGTTCTTTTCTCAGTAGTTCTGTGATAGCTGTATAAGACTCCAAAAAAATATATTTCAATCAAACCGAATAAACTAAAAAAACAAACCGCGTGGAGGTCGCCGTAAATTAAATATGCAGCAATCCAGCGTGCAACAAGTTAAATCCTAAATTCCTAAATACGCGGAACCAAATGAAGAAAAATGCAAAAGGAAGCTCAATAACAATACATTTTTATTCACCCGAGGCGAAGAAACCTATGTAAAAGCAAAAAATGTTCAAGATTTTCGCTGCCGCGCTTCGCTGCACAGCAGCATGTTCAAATTAACTCTTCACACTAAAGCGAAAGCTTGAGTTTTTGCCGACGACTCCTCCGACTGTTGCAGTCATTTTATCGGCCGTGGCGTTAGCAATCGTTCCAAAAGTTGAATTCAACTTCGAAGTAATACTGTACACTACTATTTTTGTTTTCTAAAGTCCGGGAAACTGCTTTAAATCCGCGATCGATAGTCAAAACTTAACTTACTTGAAAACATACAACCGATCGTCATGGTTTGAGGACTCTGTACTCGTTGATCTTCCATTCTGAGGCCACCTAAACATTGATTTGTACTTTTCCTTTCTATTTTAAATCTCAAAGCAGTAATTTCTCCATGTTATGAATGAGAACAAGTCCTTTGATTTGTAGATTTGGCACGCAACGCGCCATTATTATTACCTACCAGTTCCCGGCGGCCAAAACAATTTCACATGAGATCCAGACCATTTGTGCCACGTAACCAGCCAGGCAGGCAGGCAGCCAGCCAGTCCAAGATGGCGTCCAAACCCTGAAATCATATAGCATCGATCGCGATTGATAACCACGGGACATTGCAAATCTCGCGGGAATAGTATGCGTTCTCCTTCGTCGAACGCAATTATTCGCTCTCGATTTCTATCACGCATAGAAATCGAGAGCGAATAGTCTAATTGTTTTAGTATAAATCTACTAGTCGTTCAAAACTTTACCTAAATCCTCTTCACGGACACTTCGAAAACGCCAAGAAGCGGCCGTCATTTTGTTAACAAGGGCACATTGCTAAGCTACTCACTATTTATCAGTAGCGTAGCCAATCAGAGAACGGCATTCGTATTAGAGCGCTAGTAGATTTATACTAACAAGTTTTAGATTAGCGCGCGCTTTATAGAAGTTCCTTGCCCGGGGATATAAAACGCTGACCCCAGCCAGGGCACGAAGCCAGACCACTCGGTCCGAGTCCACCGCACTACTTATTGGTAAAGATACATATCGTGGGATAGATGGAGCCGAATGGCCCAGTTTCCGTAGTTTCTAGCGACTAGGAGAATTGCAACACCCCCCTGACCCTGATCCCGACCCCACCCCACAGATGAGACATTAGTATATCCCAGGTATGCCCACCAATTTTGTCAAGTTCTTCCAAGAATCTCGCTACCAATCTTACTCCGCAAATGAACATTTTCTGCGTGGACGGCTATGATTCAAATCGTTTTCTATGTATATTAACCCTGGGAAAGAGGGACTCAGGTTAGGGCAACGTAATTTCTACTGCCTGCCACCAACTTAGAACATAAAAAGCAACATCAGGCAACAATCTAACAGGGCAACTATTAAACAACCATCTACCTTGGGCACATTTGATCTCATGCCAGCAGCTGTGGTAAACAGTCTTTGTGTGGTTTGTTCCAGAGCCTGCGTTAAATTCGCCGCGTAGCTATCACCTGGGTGAACAGAGGTAGTATGAGAGTAAAGTGTCTTGCTCAAGAACAAAATGCGATGACCCCGGCCAGGGCTCGAACCCAGATCTCTCGATCCAGAGTTGAGTGTACTAACCATGAGGCCACTATCGCACCTCCCATAGCGAAAGTGGTAATCCACTTGCATTGACCTGTGATCTGGCGTTCTTATTTTTCGCGGCGACAAATTTGCCTGATTGTATGTTATACTTTTATAGGCTATGTTGATATTAGGCATACCCTAAAGAGTATGGTGTTTGAGTTGTTTTGGTCTGAAGTAGATATGAATTTTAGGGGAATCAAGAGACCATATTTGTGTAAAGGTATTATTTAAATTTCTGGGGGTTTCTCCTACAAATGAAAACGGAGAAAGAGAAGAGACCAAAACATATCTCATTGATACCATAACGTAATTTGCCGCTTTAGAGGCATCACCAACGTGTCTGAAAACGCTTTCAACAGACACCAGCTATGCAAAGTGCTATGTAAAACAATGTAATTCATTAATTAAGAAAAGCAAACTATGCTTTCAAGAAGGGAATCCACTTATAATGTCGGTTTTATATTATTTCCCCGAAAAAGCCTTTAACTGAAAACTTGAAACCTGTCAAACAGAGAAGAAGTAACCTACCTTTCTTTTGTTCTGAATATGGATATGAAAAAAAAAAAAAAGAAAAATTGCATGAGTAAACAGCAAGTAAACATCATCATCGTCGTCGTCATCGTACTGGTGTCTCTCTATCGTACCAATCTAATTACTACAACTTGTATGCAAACAGAACCGAATAAGATTTTGATTGATCAAAGACCGTGCAAAAAAGAGTAAACAGAAACCTATTATTTCGCTTAAAATTAAATGAACCCTTTCTTTATTAAATTCCTCCTCCTAAACGAAAAATGCAAGGTTATAATGATACCTTCAGTAACCTTCAAGAGGAATCGTTTTTGTAAATCATAGAGTATGTCATGTGCTCCAACCAGTATGGAGTAACCAGTAATTTGGTTTGTTCGTTTGTAGGTTTATTATGTCTATTATTTTTATTATTTTCTCCACTTCTTTCTGGTTCCTCACCTGTACCGAAAATTAACTAATTTTGAAAATAGGGAGGCCAACTAGAAACCCGAATGGTTTACTTGACTCCCGTATTCTAACTTAATGTGATGTGACGTTATATAGTGGAGTATTTTTATGTTTAAGGTCGGCGAAGATAACCTACCTGGACACGAGTTCTGTGCAATCTCCTGCGCCACTGGTGCAAGTTCGGCAAAACTAGAGGCGAAAAACATCTTGTCCTTTGAACTGGCTATGTCCTCCAGCTGTTTTTGGTCGAAGCTTTTTCCAATACCAAGGGAATAGACCTGAACTTTCTTTAATTTAAGTCCCCTAGATGCGTCAGCAAGCTGTCTATATGGACCTCTGTCTGTAGTTTGCCGTCCGTCAGTAATAACAATGGCGATCTGTCGAAGAAATAAAGCTGTTAATATTTGCCAAATGTTTTACCTTACTCCTTCAGGGCCGGTTTGTTCAAGGGCGTGTTAAACTAACCCAGGATAAGCGAGAATTTTGATTTGAGTTTTGTAACTTTGCGGTCAGGTTATCCGTATATTGTTTGACCTTCTGTTTTGAGTTTGAATAATCTCAAATTACACAGTGAAAAACATTTGTATATAAAAATAATTTACACTTCGGTTTACTTTTAATCCTGGGTTAGCGTTAACCGCAACAACCCGGCCCTGAAGGCATGACATAAGCTATGAGAACATGAAGAGTAAGTTATTTTTAGATGGGTTTCAGAAACCCGGGAAGGTCTAAAAATAGCCAATTCGGTGACTCGAAAATTAATAACGTGGACAGCCTAAGCAGTTTTAAATGCACTCACAAAAAATCTAGGCAACATGTGTAGTACCATTATTTATAGGGAGACTTAAACGATTACTGTTCCCTTCCACAGCTGGAAAAAATTTAAATAAGCCACACCGTAAATTAGTCCTCCCGAAAATAAACCTCAACTCTGACGAAAAAATTCAACCCCTTCCCTCTTCTTCCCTCCTTTGGGCTCCTCTACCCTCCCCTCTCATAATTGTGCGATAACGCGGTAATGCCGAAAACTTATCTTAAAAAAAAAATAAACACAACTGACAGTGAATTGCAAATTAAGCTGCAAATTTTTAATCTACCTGAGGAAGTTCTGGTCTCATCCCAGCCGATCTTTGAAATACTTGTTGGTCGGCAAGAATCAGAGCTCTGTCAATAAAGGTGAAACCTCTCTGAAATCGAATTCTATCGATAAGACCATTGTATCCTGCCTCTGTTATTTGAGATCCTTTAAGTCGGTCGAATTTAAACTCAAGGTTAGCTGCGGTACTGTAGGCTACAATAGCAATGTGTGTTTTATCTGGGCCGACGTTGAAAGCTTTCACCATGTCTTTCAAGAACTGCAACATCTTGACCCAGTTCCGCCGGCCAATGCTTCCTGATGAATCCACCAGAAAAGCCACGTCTGCTACAGCTTCGCAAACAAATTCTAAACGACAGTAAAGAAATAGGTAAAGTTAGCTTACGACCAAGAAAAGGTGTAAATGTTTGAATCTCATTGAGGACGCCATTTGCCTTCTCCGTGTTTGTGAGAGGTGATTTTGTATCAGTTTTGATTCAATAGGCCAGTTAATATAATCAATGGGTATATTAAAATTCCTGGTCTTCAGAAAAGAAACATAATCACTTTTGAGGTCTAGGAAAGCTCCACTAGCCGCCTTTCTAGGCCTCATGCGACTTTCTATATATTTTAGTAAAGGTCATGCGCCCTCTAGACTACGATTAGTCCCTCTTTCGCTTAGTCCGTCGGGCGAGACGCGAAAGAAAACCTGGGGGCGAGAAACGCGCGAAAGGATCTCGCGCGGCCATTTTTTATCGCGGTTTTTGTGTGGCTTACACGAGGTGTAAAGCTACATTATGGCATGATCGGATTTATTTCTTTGTCCACGAGAGTCAGCGCCTGTCACGTGGTCTTGTGTCGTACGGCGCACTAGTCTGAGTCAGCCATTTCGGTTGTCAGCGTGGTCTCAAGTTTCCCCTGCTTTTAGTTTTAAAGGTAAGTCGTTTTTCATTTTGAGCTTGGGCTTGAGCTCTGCATCTTATCATTTCTTTTACGTGTCGAAAATCTAGCTTCGTAATTAAGTACAAATAACGAAACCCGTTTGCAATTGTTGTTTCACTTTAAGGTGTTCATTCAAGTCGACAACTTGAGACAACGGGAGTAAAGTTCCTCGCGAAAGCGAAGACAGACTTGGCATGTGTCCAGTGCAGGTTCTACAGGAGCCTTTGTACTTTTAAAAGCCAATATTCATTGCTTTGTTTAAAAATGGAAAAAGTGTAGTCAGGAGATGTCATAAGTTCTATGGAAAAAGGTTTGCCACTGACTCTTGATATTTTTCATCACACGTTTCGCCTAATGGTTAAGCCTTCATCAGTGATATGAAAACGAAATTCGTTGTCATACGCTATTTAAAGTAACGTAACGCGAAGCTTGCGCGCGTGACCAAGTGCCAGGCTTCGAGGAAAAGTCGCTCGTGGTAATTAGCTTCGAAACCAACGACCTTGACGTTTTCAAAATTCATTTTGTGGTTGAAATGGTGGACATGGCTTGCCACTTTGGAGTGTTGGTCAAAACCTGCCCCTGCCTTTTTGTTCTCCGCAGTTCGGGTCTTTAAAGATCTTTCTGTTTGGCCATAGTACACAAAATTACACTGTGTGCAATTGATTTTGTACGCTATGCCTGATTTCTGGCGGTCAGAATCGTCTCGCTCTTTGGGGCGCGGAAAAAGGTTGTTGATGGTTAGTTGTTTGTAAGCTACTTTGACCTTTTGTTGTTTCAAAATGCGACCTATTTTCTCGGAAACACGCTGTACATACGGCAGTACTACAAAGCCATTGAAGTTGTTCTCGGCAGGTTGTTTGGTTAACGCCCTCTCGCAGTTCTGAATAAAGGACATGGGATAAATGTTATCTTGCAGAACGGCTTTGACTCGTTGCGTTTCTTCTCGCCTTCCTTTATTCGTTGACGGAATGTTGTTTGCTCTTTTCAGCAAAGTGTTGACTACGGATCTTTTGTGGCACAAAGGGTGAAACGAAAAGAAATCGAGATAACGGTCGGTGTGTGTCGGATCTTGTGTAAACAGCCACTTGAATATCTGTGCCGCGTCTGCTTGTAATGGTGTCAAGAAAAGGTAAGCCTTGCCCATTGGTGTTTTCTAGTTCGAAAGTGAACTGAATATTTGGTTTAATTGAGTTCAGATGTTTATGAAACTCGTCAACTTGATCCTTTTTTAAACAAGAATGACTATCATCAACATAGCATTGTCCATTTTTCTGCACAAAGAAAAATGGGTTGTCAACGTATCACAACGCACCTTGGGTCCGGTTGAAATTACAGCCCTCGAGAAAGGTTTCAATTTCTCCATCCCTCCAAAGAAAATTCCCGTCGCAAAAATCTTATCTTCGGTTGAAAATGGCATTTTCAGTCTCAAGCAATCGATAAAAGACACAATACGCGTTTCTGTGGCGAACATTCTTAAGAATTGTAAAGTACCCGCGACAGTCAACATAACGAAAGAACAGGAGAAAGCGCTAGATAACCTGAGAAAGGATGAGACTGTGAAGATCCTTCCAGCCGATAAAGGAAGATCCATAGTTGTGATGGATAGCGATGAGTGCAAAGAAAATATAGCCCTTTTATTAAATGACACTACAACGTATTTGAAATTAACGGACAAGAGATTGAACCCCACAACCAAGTTGAAAAAGATCTTAACAAAATTCCACTTAACATCAAGAACGAGAACAATGGTACAGCACCGCAATTTGGCCCAAATTTATACAGGAAACTGCACTGCAGTAACTCGACATCAGCATCTTTTTACCGTCTTCCGAAAATTCACAAACCTAGAAGGCCATTGCGACCCATCACAAACAGTATCGGTAGTCCGACGTATGCAGTGTCCAAATATCTGGTTTCAGTCCTGTCGCCTCTGAGGAAAAACACCTTCACAGTCCAAAACAGTTCCGCTTTCACACAGCAAATAAAACAGCATTTCATCACCAGCGAAGAAGTCATGGTCTCCTTCGATGTGAAGTCTCTGTTCACCTTCCTAACAATAACCAAGGAGAGGCTACAACAAGACCAGCATCTAGCAGAACGTACCAATCTTTCTGTTGACAACATCTTGAAACTTTCAGACTTCGTACTCGACCACAATTACTTCAAATATGATGGCGACCACTACAAACAAATTTTTGGATGTGCCATAGGTTCTCCCATTAGTGCAGTTTTAGCCGACCTGGTTATGGAAGAAATTGAGGAGACGGCGATCTCCACATTCCCGCACCCTCCTAAATGGTGGTTTCGCTATGTTGATGATAGTCATTCTTGTTTAAAAAAGGATCAAGTCGACGAGTTTCATAAACATCTGAACTCAGTTAAACCAAATATTCAGTTCACTTTCGAACTAGAAAACACCAATGGGCAAGGCTTACCTTTTCTTGACACCATTACAAGCAGACGCGGCACAGATATTCAAGTGGCTGTTTACACAAGATCCGACACACACCGACCGTTATCTCGATTTCTTTTCGTTTCACCCTTTGTGCCACAAAAGATCCGTAGTCAACACTTTGCTGAAAAGAGCAAACAACATTCCGTCAACGAATAAAGGAAGGCGAGAAGAAACGCAACGAGTCAAAGCCGTTCTGCGAGA